GAATGCTTCTCCCCGAGGAGCTCGTCATTTACATGAAAAACTTGGACATAATGGAGTCAAACAGGCTTCTGTAATACAAGTAACTTTGAATCCCCTGGCAGCTCCCTGCTCAGTTCCATTTTTCCTGTCTTTGCTATACAGAGTTATACCCTAACTCCCCTGGAAGATGAAAAAAAATTCTGAATAGAGAAGACAGTTAAATATAAAATAGTTTAAATCAATAAAATATGTTCTTCGTGGCTGTTTTACTGACAGGAGCGATCTGTTCTTTCCCTTCTTAACCTCAACACCCCGAAGAAATTTCAAAGCACACCAAAGATAGAGACTTTGCGATGGCAGCCTAACCACAGTTGACAATCAACCAAAGCTGCGAGTTAAACTGGGGGCAGGGAAGCAGGAGAACTCATTTGTTTGTAGGTAAAGAGAGCCCTCTGCTGGTGTTAAGTGATATTGCAGGGACAGCAATTCCCATTTATACCTGCTTTGTTAAGGCCCTTTATTTAATAATCGAACCAAAACATCCACCGAATAAACACAAGCTCGTTTCATCTTTTATGCAATTTAATATAGCAGGAGATTAATTCCTAACTGAAGAGGGCCAGACTGCATGCAGGCAGGACTGTGGGTGAGAGGACTTTGGAAAAATCCCCTTGACAAGACACACAGGTGAGAAGTTTCGTGTCAAACACTCAGCAGAAGGTGCATCCCTTTTTCAAAGGAAGAAAAAACCTGAGCATTCACTTCGTTGCACGAGCTGTGTGTGCTGGGAGCAGAAGTGCTTATCTAAACGCCTACAGCAAGGTAAAAAAACCCTAAACAGAATATGAATTAAGTAAAATTAATGAACAGATACATACAGCACATTATTTTTGTGTTAAATCATGATCAACTAATGCTGTGCTTTGGGAATTTTACAAGCAGAAATTACTAAGCATACAGCCTTTACAGTGACCCTGCTATGACAGCAAAAAGCAAGTTGAAGTTTGGCTTAAGATTGCAACAACTGGCTACTTATTCCTGTTCTGCATCAGAGCTTAGAAGAAAGTTAAATTTAAGTAGTGTCATTTAAGAAAACTGTATAGACACATAACAAGACAAAATACAGCAGAAATCTAAAGTGTACATTGCCAGAAGGATAATGATTTTTTCTAGGACCTAGGACTATCAATATGATATTTATTTTAAAGTATTTTTCAGTGCAAACTATGTGCCAATCTTCCTGGCCACACTGTTTTGAATACTGGCTTTAGACAAATGCATTTACCTTTCCAAGAAGTATTCAAGTTAAGAAACTAAATTTGTTAGGAAAGGGCATGCTAGAAATGCTAAATTGCTTTTAAACTTTATGAAATAAATAAAGAGGTGATAATAACATTAATGGTTTTGTCACTTCTGCTCTTCTGTAGTTGTGCTTCATCCAGCTCCTTCTCCATTTTCTCTCTTTCTAAATTCAAATCATTCAGCTCTTGATCGGTCCTTTTAATCCTCCTTTGTAGTTTCCGATTCTCAGCATCCTTTGTAAGGTTTTCTGAACGCAGCTCTGCTAAGAGGGTCTCTTTCTCCATCAAGAGAGCTTGATAATCCTCAGCACCCTGAAACACAATGCAGCATTCAAGTTCTGCAAGGGTATTCTGTGGAGACTGGAAGTCTTCACTCCTGGTGTGTCCAAACCCACTCCCCCGCATCTCTCTCCAGTACTTCAAAATTATGATGCAAAAATACAGTGAAATGAAAGTTACTCACACAACAGGGAAAATGTTACACTGAAAATTTTCTTAACTAACATAACACAGCTTTCAGTGCCATCCAGCACAGGATAACAAAGTCTCAGATAACTAAGAATTAGATAAAGGTTGAACTGCAAAGGAGCCCATAGCGCAAATGTGACCATATTATCATTATTATTATTGGTTCCCAAAGCTCTTATTAATAAAGCTTTCTACTTTTGGGTCAGATTAAATCCAGACTAGGTCAAGCAGTTGCCAAGTCATACACAGATTTTTCTGTATGAAATAGCACGTCTGCTTTGTGTTCTTCCCCATCACACACCGTGACAACCAGCCTCTTTGAAGTGCACAACACAGATGACAGCAGTAGTGGGCTATGCAGCACGGTCTACTCACAGAGAGCTGCCTTCAACTCAAGTTTGTAGCTAAGTAGCAGAGTAATGAGGAGAAGGGCTTGCTCTGTCACCCACCATGCAATATGGATTCTGTGGACAGGAGGGGTTAGTTGCACACTTTTTAAACCTAGAGCTTTTCAAAAATTATCAAGCTTACATAAAAATAAAAGGGTTAAAATTAGAGTAATATTTCAAAGCAGGACTTCCACGGTGTGAAGAAGCAAACCTAAGTGATAGATTCAAACACAGATCAAAATGACCTGAAGAAGAAACAGGATCTATGTTTCTCAATAAAGCACACTTAAAGTTTGGACTTAAGTGAAATAAATGGCTTTTGAAGAAGTGGAGGTGCTCTGTGAGAGCTAAACATTACTGCTCCATTAGACTCCAAAATCAAAAAGCAGTGCAGCCAGTCACAGAAGCTTTAGGAGGGTGCACTTCAGAGGGAAGCGTGTCAGCCTGCTGAGCTGAGACACCAACTGGATGGACAAGCATCAGAATGCAAGATTCCTCACTGCCTCTGATCTGTATGTGTTAGTTTGATCAGACTTGGTTTCAGATGAGTTGGAAAACATTACAAGAGACAATTATCCATTTTAATATTAAACTCTCACTTTCTCCCATTTTACATTTTAGGACCTTTATAATGTATAATTATCATCATAAAGGCCTTTCTCCTCCACGAACGTGAAAACATCGCTAAATCACATTCTCACAAATGTCACTCCACTATTTTATAAACAGTGGTTTCACATTTATTTTATAGATCTGCTAGCAGGAAGACTGTGCTGTTACCATACTTTTAGAAGAACAGTCAAAACATTCTCAGGTCAACAAGGAAAGCTCAGTATCACCTCAACTGTTTCTGTCTCTATTTTTAATTCGTTTTGCTTTTACACATTTCTCCTTTAATACTCAGTTGATATAGAAGAAAAAACTCCAACAGGTGAAGTAATCTGACATTTTGATGCTTTATCATTTAAATAATTTGATTTGGGAATTTTCTTTCAAAGTAAGAAAAAATTAAAGCTTTCTAAAGAACATTTTAAACTAATTTCCACTCCTCTACTTTCAAAGATACAAAGCACTACCTGCTGTGTGGAATTACGGAGAAGGGAGCAGCAGGGATGGGGGCAGTCGCATTAACTGTTTGCCTCTTACCTTGAATTTTTGGATGTGTGCTTTGTGAGTTGCCTCTCTTGCCTTTGCCAATGAAGCATTTAGATCTTCAATTTCAGAACCAAGCTCCTCATTCTTTAAGAAAAGTAAAATGAATACTATGTACAAAGAGTTATTTCCAAGGGATGGTGATTCAGTAACAGCTATCCCATCTCATTATCCATTTATCCAACTACACAAAACAAATACTTCAAAGAACAAAAAAACACCAAACACATCATAATAGATCTTGCATGAAGAATTCTTGTTCTTTCACAACACTCACTAGACTGCCTATCACTCAAGTTAAATATTCCCCATTCTTCCACAAAATCTGGATTTCAGCTGATGTTGACCTCTCCTATTTCAGCTGTCTTTATGGCAGCTGCACTTACTCAACAACATAACATACTTCTCATACTCTTTAAGTGGTGCTCAGAGCTGATAAAAATCAGTGTGCAACCGAAAACATCTTTCTTCAAAGTTCTTAAGGAAGAAAGTACCAATTAAGTATCTTTTTTCCTCTCTCCTTCAGCTCAAGATCCAAAACCCTAGATGAACACAACTGCTTATGGATACGGCAGCAGTGATTAAGGACCCAACCAGAACCCTCCTAACGGTTACAGCAAGATCAGTCAACCCCTGCCACACACTCAACGCACACACTCCACTCCAGTGGTAGTTCTACAAACCAACAAGATCATCATCATACCTCTTTCTCCTTGGCTTTTAGTGCAACAGTTAGCCCTTGAATGGTTTTATCCCTTTTCAAACCATTCTTCTTTTCAACAGCAAGCTCATTTTCTCTCTCCTGTAGCTCTTCTTGAAGTGACTAAATTAGATTATGTGAAAGTTGCATTAACTTCTCACTAAGAGATACGGTAACTGCACCTTATTAAGTACATTCTCTTAGAGTTCTTATATCTTATTACTCAGATTACTAACATAAAACGTAGTCCCAAAATGCAACCCATCATCTTAAGGATGTGCCTGGAATACAGTATAAAAAGCCTAATCTCATGGGCTGGCCACGAATATCAGCTTCAATATTTGATGAGTGTGTCTATCAGTTTCACTGAAAATTGCTTCAAAAACAAGGCGAGCCTTCCTGTCATCTAACATAAAAGAGAATTTACCAGAGGAGGTGCCTTGCTTCCCTTCCAGTCAAGGCCTCTCTGCATCTATGAATGCGTAACAGAAGGGATACCAACAAGCACTGGAAGTGGTTGAGGAAACAGAAACAAAACTAGGCCGTACCTGAATCTTTTTTTCAAAGGAATTTCTCTCGTTTTTAAGCTCCATTCTAACAGCCTGTGAGAACAAAACAGTTGTTATGGTCAAGAAAGTTCACTCTAAGCACAAATGTAACTCATTAAGCATTAAAATTAAGCAAAATGAGCTTAAAAAACTTGGGGGAAAAAAAACAACCAAACAAAACCCAACAACCTACCTTAGTATACATCTTTTGGCAGGAATATATTCAATCAGTTGCTTTCTAGAAGGCTACAAATCTACCTGGACACAGTACAAGTCTGTCCAAGCAAAAACAAAAAAACCCAAACAAAAACAAAACCCCCACCCTCCAAAAAAAAAAAAAAAAACAACCCAAAAGTAAAAACCACCAAAAACCCACAAAAAAAACCCCAAACTAAGGGAAAAAACCAAACAACAAAATTAACCCACAACCACCCACACAATGAGTTCTTCCATGAGACAGGACAATTACAACTGTACTTGCTAAGCTAATAAAAATGCGTTTTTGTGTGACATTTATCTATGTCAGCAAGATGCTTTTATCAAGAGATTTTAATTAGCACTTTTCCCTGGGGAGGTTACAGAGTATTTTTTTGTGTAAGTAATCACATATAAAAACTGACTTGTGCAGAGGTAGTCATCAGATTTTTTTCTCCAATACTGCATCCCAAAATAATCACACAGTCTGTCCAACTCCTATGAAATGATTAAAGATGAGCCTGTTTTCACCTTGACACACAAATACTCTTGTGTGGTTTAACTGCGAGATGACCCAGAACTGAAAACTTTTAATTCCAATTAAATTCCTTTTAAGCCAAATCGCACAAGGTTCTCTTGTCTGTTCTTGACATGAACAAAAAAGCGTGCAGGTACCGATCAACATTAAAGCAAAAGGGAAGAAGTTTCTCAGAAGCATGACAGCCTCCATGATTACTTTCTTAATTCTGCCAGCTTTAATTTATTGTTTGAAAAACCAAAGGGGAAAAAAGAGAAAACAAGCCTTAAGACCTGTTTCCTTTTGTAAGCTAAAGGCCAGACTCTCACTTTATTTCATGAGATTTTTGTATGCCTACCTCCCTTACCACAGCTCTTTCTCCAGACCTCAACAGTAGAGATACTTCCCGAAAATAAACTTTCAAGTCAACTTCCATAGAAGTTCAGACTGTAAATCATCTATTGTGGTATCCGTTAACATCTAGCATTTTCTTATGCACACTCCTGTAAAGCAATGGAGCAGTATAACACAGGCATAAAGTCAATGGGAAACATGACCTCTCGTTGAGTGAATGGTAAGCATGGATAATAAGGATGAATATTGACCACCAAACCACAATATAACCAATGCATGTTAAGAAAATGGAGAAGGGAGGGAATAACTGTGGAGAATGTTTTTTTAAAATTGGCTTAAATCACTCGCACACCATCAGGCACAAACCCTTTAAAATCCTATACCACATGAGATTTATAACATACAACTGGTCAGTCGGTTTCCTCACCTCTATCTCACTATCTTTTTCATGCCTCAAAGCAATGGTAAGTTCTCTGATTTTTTCTGCAGATAAGTTCCCATCATAAGATCCACTCTGAGACTTTTCCTCTTCAAGGTGTTGAATTATTGCTTCTTTACTTTTCAATGACAGATTCAGTTGCTCTATAAGTCTAAAATTATAAGATTTTTAATATTAATCTTGCATCATCTACCACCAGTTCTCCAGTCATTGCAGTAAATCTCGCAGACAGCTTTCCTAGGTGAAGACTCCAAACAATACTCATAAAACTTAGGGGAGTACTTTCATAACCCCTTCTCCCTCCAGAAAAACCAGAAAAGGTGCCATAACTTTAAACCAAGCAACAAATAGGGTTGAGCTATCTGCAAAGTGCTCGTTCTTACTTTCCTCCAGTACACTTTCAAATGTCCACCCTTAAGCTTCACTGTTTTAGTTCCGTTGTTCCTCATAGCACACACAACAAGCTCATCAATCTACTCCACGTCTTAGCACATACAACGCCGCACTCTCACGTGCCATCACTATGTGTCCCTCCAGCGGCTTCATTTAGATTTGAACCTAAGATGGTTCTCGTTTCGCATAAACAAACAAACAAAAAAAAGAGTTAGGTCAGCGCTGCCACCTTTGGTCAGTTCCCATCTTGACATTTCCAGTATTTTAACTGATAAAACAATGCTCGAGTCTTCTGACAGACATGAGGGCTATACCTGAAATCTTTCTGGCATAAGACACCAGCTATGATTCTCTTACTACTTTCACCATCTAGGCTACAAAATACCTTTTTAACGTAATGTGAGTGCCAAATGTGCTACTCCCAGACAAGTTTAAAGCATCATACATTAATATTTGATTCACTGCAAGAAGTCCAATACTCTCTTCTTCCATTGGCACTGTGTTTTTCTGGTCCTGTGAATACTTACACTGATCTATCAGCACATAGTTATAGAACATCCTGCTAACACTGGATCACAAGGCAGGGGTGGGGGGCATCAGGGTGAGGGGAAAGCTCAAGCAACTCAGGAGAGCAACTGTGTTCACATAGACAACTTACAGATAGAAACAGGAAGACAAGAGAGAGAAAGGGGAAAGGAGGGAAATAACCCAAGATCCAGTTTATGACTCCTGTGGTAGCACATAAAATCCATTATCAAAACTTATTAGAACAGTTTCATAATATTACGCCAATGCAGGTTTCAGATCTGCAGTTTTCCATCAGCATGCTTTTATAAAAACTGTCTGGAAAACACCACAAATCTTGTTTTGGTCCTACCATGATATAAAACCTATGAAATGAAAGCCTCAGGTCAACATAACTTCCTAACAGAAAAAGGCAGACCAATTACGCAGTTACTGACAGAGCAGTGACCTGCAGGATTCAGTCACAAATGGATAGGAAAGGATACTCCCAAGTATAAGGAACCACTGAGCTTTACTGGAAGCCTTGCCAGGCACATATTTTACCCTATATACCTTAAAAAAAAAATCCTCCAAAGTATTGAGATTTGGCCTTGCACATCTTTCCTACCTAAAGTTACTGAACAACTCTCACACCTTGTCAACTACCTCCCAAACAAAGCAAAACCAGTGCTCTGCAAAGCACAACCAAAACCATGAAGCTCAAATACACTACGTTTCTCTTCCCATCGGATTTACCAACCTCAGCAGATACATCACTGGGACTGAAGAGCACATAAACACCATGAGAGCAGTAAGTGAACACAAATGGTAGAGTCAAGTTCTGGTCAGCAATGGTTTCAAGAAAGCAGCAAGCAGAAGGTAAGCCAGCAAAGTTACAAAGATGCTTTAAAGCAGGACATGCTCGTGCCGCATGCACACCGACTCTTTTAAGACTTTCAAACGACTTTCAAAGATGATTGTGCCATCATGCAGATGTAAACCAGCCGCCGTGTTCCTTCAATAGCTGAATGGGTGAGATGGCCAGTAACACTCACTCATTACCTCCGGGTAGGATCAAACTATTAAAACCTATATCCACGTTGACTCTTCATACTTTAACAAAGAAATCCAGTAGTTCGAAACATCACCAGCAAGAGCTCTGACCTGTCTTTCTCAGCTCCTGTAACCATATCCACATCTTTTGCAGGGGCATTCATAACTGAAGAAAGCTTCTGCTCGGCAGCTATTCTCAGAGATTTCTCCTTCTCTGACATTGCAATGGCTTTCTCCACTTCTTCTTGGGCAGCTTTAAGATTCTGTAATTAAATCACACAGTCATGATGCCTGTAAGAATCAAACGCTCAAACCATTTTTCACATATTGAAGTTTCTTCTACCAAACATATGTTGGTACGTTTAATTTAGCAACTTTCACCAAGTATTTCAAGTGCTTTGCAAATGCTTCTGAGCTCTGTGTCTGCATCTTCAAGATTAATCCATTTTCTGTGGTACATAAAGAAGGGAAGCTTGTTTCACAGAAGTAAAACAAATACCCTAACTGACAGCAGAACTGGAAACAAAAGTGCCCCTATGCTATGGCTTTAGATTTAGCTATTAGAATTTTAGCTTGTCCCATTGTCCTCCCGCTATCATAATAAATAGCTACACTTAAAGAGGTTAAAGAAGGGCTTTTTTATTCCATCAGAGATTAAACTAATATCCACAGGCTCCCTGTAGCTAATTGGAAGTCTTCCTGGCATAATTTATAATATTTTGCAAGAATTGATACAAGTATGAACCAGACATTTTTCTCTTGAACAGCAACGGAAACAGAGATAACACCCAGGGATGCATTTCCTCTAGTGACCAACTCGAGGAGATGGGCAACACCAGGAAAATCACATTTGTCATGCACTACATAAAATTTCTTTTTATATTAAATATTTTATATTTATATTAAGCTTCCCTGCTGCGCTCCCTGAAATTTGCTTTGTATGAAATAAAAGCCTCCTTGAGCCTAAAAAGTCATTCCCCTCTCTCCTCCAAGTCTATACTAAAAAGTGCATCTCTTTTGGGGAGAGTGAAGACAAAGTCCTTGACCACTGGACTTCACCACTCACTCCCTCTCCCGAAAAGCTGCTCTGCCAGCATTCACCTTTCAGTCAAAAATTCCGAAGGAAATTAATCTTTGTTAGTGTGACCTGGATCTCTATAATTATATGGGGCTGTATAAACAAGTGACTAACACTACTCTGCAGTGCTTATATTCATAAGCATAATAAAATTCGTGTCAGAGGCCAACACTGTCTTCAGGCTACAGAAAATACTGTATCTCCATGAGATTACAATATTTGCCCTTCTGTCTGTCAGACCTGAGAAACGCCAGTCTGCCTGCCTGTTTTGGTACAGAATAAGTAATTTAGGAACTTCTCTACCTATCTGATAGCTCAAAGAATGCTTCGAGAAATCCCAATTCCACTAAACTGAAAAAAGGCCATGGAGTTTTCCCCTCCTCCCTGAAGGCGCCCACTGCTTTATGAATACTGCTAAATCATGCTGTCAGGAAATACCATCAGGAGACTGCTACCAATATCTTCCACAACCAATTCATTCTTTAAGGATGGGAAAGCAAATACTGAAATATACCCACTTGTGCTGTTTCTATTTACTTACAGAAAGAGCAGCAGACACCCATCGCCCTCAAACACTGCTACAAAATCCCACACCTCCAGATAAGTGTATCCAGTCAGTGATGCAATCACAAGCTTATGGATTTCTAGAACTTGACACAAACATTTCCAGCACAGACCATTCGATATCAAATTTGTTCTTTACAAGAAACTGAACTTCTCCTTGCTTCTGAGGAACCACGTTATTCACACACAGAATTATTTTTTTTTGCCTTTACACTACAGAAAGAGGAAAACATGAAGCAGTTCCCTTGTAAAGATATCAGCAACAGCTCAACAATAACTACAGGAATAAACTGTCTCAGCCACAAACAGCAAGGAAATAAAATAAAAAATAATAATAAAAGACATTTTTAAAATCACACTGTGGGACAGGAGAATGTTATGCATAAAGTTGATACAGCAACAGCAGAAGCCAGCAGTATTTGGCAGATAAAGGTCAATCTAACAGCAGTGTAAGGCATGCAGGCACAACACAGGGAAGTGCCCACTGGTTCATTTCCCCCAGAGGCTGCCACGAGTAGGTGGCCTCTCTCAGCCTGTAACAAACGCACAAGAGTGGAGATTCAGCAAGCCACAGGACCTCAGGTTTCTGTTGCAATATTGAGGTCCCATCTACGGACGGGAAATGACAGGAGTGCTTACAAAATGGTTTCAGCTGTTTACAAAGCTGAGAGTTTATCAGTAGAAGTGTTCAAAACCCAACCCTCTTCCTCTGAACAGCAACTGCAATTCAGAAAATGTAGCCTCCTTTCACTAGAATTCAGGAATCAAAGGTTTGCGCTGAATGTACTTAAATACCACCAATAGGTACAAATTTCCTGCAGAACTGCTATCCTTGTATTTGACATTTCAAGAGCAGCTAAAACCACCTTCCCTTTCTTTTTTTCTCTCTTAATTTTTTTCCTGGTCCTGCACTGGCTATTTTTCCAAGAAAGCTGAAACGATTTTGAAAATACAGGTAAATCACAGAATGCAGTCTCAGACAACAGCACAAAGACAGTACTGACTTCCAACTCTTCCTTCAGTTTCAGCCACTCACCTCTTCCAGAAAGTTTATTCTGCCAGTCAGGATTTCTTCTGTTTCTTGTATCTTCTTTTGTGCCTCTTCTTTCACGCGCTGTATTTCAGCATTACCACCCTGGGCCAAGCTTTCCACTGCCTTCCTGAAAGACCAGAACACAGATAGAAATCCCATTGCGTATCAGAGTGGAAAACATTTAAAGTGCCAGTCACTGAGAGATTACACACAAGCAAGTGTCTTCACTTCAGCTGTACCTGCTCATCACTTTAGGTTAAATACAAACATCTACACACTACAGAGCAACTTTGGTGGTATAATTAGAGTTCTACACACAAGCCTGGTCACAGTGGAGAAGTGAGCACTGTGTAAGTATGATGAGAAAGTGCAGTATTTTCTTCATATTTTTAAAGCTTCCAAATACAGTGCCAAGCCTTTGGTAGAGCTGTATTTTCTGCAGAAAGCAGCACTGGAATAAACGGAATATATGTAGCTGCTGACACTTCTCCAATTGCCTTTTCAGTAATTGTTAATACCTTGTAAGGAAAGAACAGTCAGTGTTTCCTTACTAAACAAAGGATGGCCACTTGTTTACGATTTCCCCCTAAATTCTGCTTCCTATCATGAACTTGTGCAAGGCTCCATTCAAAGCCCAGCAATACCTTTTGCCAGCTACCTGGAAAGACCACAGAAAAATTAATTGAGTCCTCAAAATCTCCTTTAAACTAGGCCTCTGAACTACCACAGAAAGGTTAATTCCCAACAATCCAATGCCAGGTGAGGTAGGCCACACAACAAAAATTCCATTGAAACTGAGGCCCCTGTAGCAGCCAGTAACTGTCAGTCATCACCAGCCTGGATTAGTTTTGAACCAGACATCTAGAAGTAGGCAGGAAGCTTACCATCAGGAAGTGTATTTATTTTTATATCACTAAAACCCACAAGATTCATTCTAGATTAGTTCTGAACCACCCTCTCAGCCGTACTGAAGTGTTTTGTGTAATGTCCTTACAATCCAAAAAAAAAGTTCACCTCTTCACCTGTTGAGACAATTAAGCTCTTAGCTTAACTTCTACAATTGGAATGCTAAGCCACTGCTAACTAAGGGGTCATTTATTTACTTGAAAAATACAGTAGAATGAAGGATAACATCAAAGTCACAGCATCCAGTATAACTACGTTAACATCACTGTGCATTGAATAATTCACACATGTAACTTCTGTAGTGAATGAAGCAATTTCTAGGTAACTGCCCTTAAAATACTACTTTGGGATCCTCATCAGAGGAAAACATCGGGGGGGGAACCCCAAAACCAAATAGAAGCAAGATCGTGGGAATCATAAGTAACAGACAGAGATTTACTGGTACTTACGAGGCTTTGATGAGCAGTTTCTCTCTCTCCTGCAGATCACGCTTCAGACTTTCTATCTCAACTTTCAGCTCAATGTTCTAAGATAAAAGAATGAGTGTCTGGAGAGAATTCAGAGGCCATCCTACACAAAAGTAATTGGCAATGTGTAGATTTTTGCTTGGGCCAGCAAATACAAAGTAACATTGAGCTAAGAATAGCATGGAGACATTCTAGCTGTTAAAGGACATGTTTTGCAAGGTTCAAGACTTTCAGAAACCAAAAAAACCATTTATGACCACTGTATTCAAGCAATACAAATCCCCTACATGCACACTATACTATAATGGGGGTAGTGCAGATCAACTCGGGATTGTCTAGGGCTTCCATGTGTGGTTTTTCTTGAGCTACAAAATATTTTCTTTTAGTTTTCTTCTTAAAACCTGATTGTATCAACTACTGAGGTCTTTAATAACCTCTAAATTATTTTGTTATAGCCTGAGTAAACTACTCATGGCATAAGCACACACTGTACAAAGAACTGCTTGGCCTGCAAGCTGGCAGACACCATTTCAATTTATCAGCAAATACAAGACAGACACCAGCACAGAAGAGCAGGACACAAAACCAATCAGCAACATTCAGTTGAATCCATGACATAGCCAAACATCAATTTATGTACTTAACTACTGCAACAAGCATCAAGAGAAACTAAAGTTTCCTTCCTATTAAAAAAAAGAGACTTGATGCAAGCATCTGTTATAAATAACACACTACTGCGTTACCAAAATGACTTTTTTGCCTTCTAGAATGCAGGCATCACCAAGGGCATATGAAATGCTTCCTATCATCTGTAAACCTGAAATAATGAGGATGCAAGACATAGCTCTCAATTCAAACTCTCCACTCAAGTTTCCATACTTGGTGAAGGTCATTTTCATTTAGTTCTTATTGAAGAGGATTAGGCTGGGGAAAAAATAAAGTTATTGTAAAAAAAGACTCAAAAGTTGAGTTAAAAAGGTAATATCCCCACAAAACAAACTCTTCAAGAAGACAGATAATTCTTTTTAATTATTCTACGTGCATACGATTTTGTATATTTCTTCAGTGGGACCATCAAACTTCTGCTGCATTCGCTCCTCCAGAAAGTATATACGGAGCTTCAGGTTGAAGTTCTCTTTTTTCAGATCAGTGATTTGCTGTGAAATAAGACAGAAAATGAGTGAACTACATCACGTGTTTCAAACACAGTAAAATACAGAGTGAAAACTACTATCATTTAGTTTTGCTCTCCACAGTGCAAGATTAGAATTCAACCCACCGGACACTGTTAAACACAAAACACACACACACATATATATATATATACATATATGTATTTTCAAACTGTGAAGGTGTTAATAACAGCATGGTACCCAGGTCAAAATGAAACATCCCTTCCTCCAAGACAGCATCACCCAGGCAGCTGCAAACACTCCAAGCCCTTCAACAGGCTTCTGTCTTCTCCAGCTTCAGCACGTACCACAGAACACACCCTTCTCCCACCATCCCATCCCATCCATAACACTTTTTACCCCTATCTCCATTCCTCACCTGAACAAGAAATCCCACTCCAGGGTGCCCCTTCCGAATGCTTTGGGGTTTTGTTTTGTTTAAGATGTATAGGCATTTTGGCACACACACAAACTTTGTATGTTTGTGCAAGATGTTATCACATAGCTTGTTTATTTTTTTGCCCAGTGAAACTCAGATGCTAGCACTTAAACAAATAACTATAAAACAGTATTGTTTAAAAATTTATAATACATGCTGCTGAGCACAGTGGTCTTTAGAATATTCCCTCTCTAAGTACTAAAACAATGGCTTCACACAAAAAGACTTCAAGAGATTTGTCTGAATCTAGAAATATTAAGTAGTTCTTTCTTCTAGAAAATAGAACTTGAACAAAGTAAGATGTCACCTTGAAAGAGAAGTATTTTTTTGGCAGAAGCTTGGCATGGTAGCCTTATTCAGGGAAAGAAAAGCCACAAGCACACAAAGCGTGTGAACCCCATCGAACCCCAATAAAACCTTTATCCCATCCCGTATTTCATAGTGCAATTCTTTGGGAAAAAAATTGCTTATGATTTTAAACCTTCCCAGTAGAAGCAGTAACACAGTTGATGGTTTCATTAAAGAAAGGAGTCTCACTCTAAATTTTTTTAACAGACTAAGCATAAAACATTCATTCAAATAAGACTTGTGTGCCCTGCCAGATGCTTTCAGCAAAAGGAAATCTAATATGTTACAGAGCTACCAATAAAATATTTATGTAGGCTTTTCTAGAGCACTATAGCACCACTTGTAAAAATTATTAGCAATACAATTCTTCAAATATTTGGCTTGTGAAACCCAAGATTATTTTCTGTAGCTGCACTCAGAACCTCCATCTGCAAACAATTCTTCAGCTTAATAATCTTTGCCCAGCAAGACGCCTCATCGTTATTCACACAAGTAAAAAGCATCCAAGCAACTGAAAATACTACACAAACTACACAAACTTTGTGGCCCATTCACACATCCTGAAGAGGGCTGTCTTTAGAAGCAGTAGCAATACATATATTTAACTTTATCTTTG